GACAGTGGTGGTGATAGGAACCAGGGGCCATGATGTCTACAATGCATGTGTATATATATATATTTTTTTTTATTTACTATCCAAAAAGTGTTTTATGTGTTTTTATATGTAATGTTGATAGTCAGATAGAGACTATTTTGCCGTAAAACACCTTTCATGTACCCTTCCACCAAAAAAAAGCTCATCTCAAAACTGCTGTAAAACAACATATAGGTACACATCTCTGGTATCAGACCTGTGTACGTAAATCTATAACCTGTTTATATATATATATATATATATATATATATGTTTTATACCATAATGACATATTTAATAATAAACATAAAATAGTGGTAAATCTAAACAAAAATAAGCTTTCATTGGGGACTATTTTGCCTTACAATGCCCTGCATGTAGTTCTCCACCAATACATCAAGTGTCAGCCTGCGTATTCATAACCACTTCATGTAATAACTTTCTGTGAGGGAGCTTTAACAGGTATCAAACTCTTCAGACCTCTGGTTCCTATCACCACCACTGTGAAAAATTCGGACTCAGTAAGTTTCTCTAGAACTGAGCATTTCACGTCACACCACTCTGACTGACTTTGTTGACATCTTAATCATTTAACTTGATTTGATTATGGCGAAATTTTGAAAAATTGGTGGAATTCCCCTTTAAGAGCCCTTCCTTTATAGCCAGTGTGCAAAACAGTTGAAGGAGGGACACAGCAGACACGCAACACCTGAGCTGCATGCAAAACAGCTCACATACGAGCACACACCTTCCTCTCAGCCATAAACTCAGTCATGCACACATATACAACCACCTGCGCACGGTCACCACGACAACTCTGCAAGCCATAAACAAACAAACGCAGCGTAATCTTACCTGCACCTGGGCGCCTGTAAATATGTGTATAAGTATGTGAGCTTTTGCTCAGTCAGTCTGAGCAGCTGTCAGCTGTCCAGTGCACTCATTCTTCCCCCCTCTCTCTCTCTGTCTCTCTCTCTCTCTCTCTCTCTCTCTCTCTCTCTCTCTCTCTCCCTCTCTCTCCCTCTCTCCGGCTCATAAAGTGCCAGTGCTGTTTTATTTAATTCATTACCACATCGTCGGCTGCTGCCGCTGCTGCCGCTGCTGCTTTAACTCTTCAATGCTGGAGTCACAACACAGGCTGGGGGGGGTAATTAACTCCCTTCTTCCTCGTTTACATGCTGCTGCACTCATCCTTCCCTTCCCACTCCTCCTCTTCCTCCTCCCCATGCTCCGCCTCCCCTCCCCCTATCCATTTTTTCCTCCCCCCTTTTTTCTCTTTCCAATGAGTCCCAAGCGATCCTGTGATGCGTATTCCTCTGCTCTCCGCCGCGCTCCTGCAATGACGATATTTCCTCCTCCTTTTCTCCCCCTCCTCTCTCTCTTTCTCTCTCTCTCTTCCTCGTTTTACCCCTCCCCCCTCCCCCCCTCCTCTACATCCTGACCTTTGCAATTTGATATCACTGGTTTCCTTATATGGGCTGTAAGGTTGCCACGGCAACCACGGACTCCACCTGTCTCTCACCAACCTGTCCCTGTCTCTCTCTCACTTGCTCACTTTCTTATTTTCTGATGTTTTCTCTCTCTTTCTCTTTATCCCTTTTTTCTCTCTCTAGCTTGCTCACTTTCTCCCTTTCTATCCACCTCTTTTGCTCTCTCTCTCTTTCTCCCTCTGTCTTTATCTCTCTCTCTCCCTTCCTCTTTCGCTGTCTCTTTTTTCTCTCTTTATATCTCTTCTGCTCTCTCTCTCCCGCTCTTGCTCGCACTGTCTTTATCTCTCTCCCTCTCTTTCTCTCTTTCTCTTTTCGCTCTCTCTTTCGTCCCATCTCTTGCTCTATATTTCTCTTTTTAACTCTCTCTTTCTAACTCTTTCTCTGTCTCTCTCTCTCTCTCTCTCTCTCTCTCTCTTACTGTTTCTCCCTCTCACTCTCTCTTTCTCTGTTACTCTATGTCTGTCTCTATTTCCCTCTCTTTCTGTCTTTCTCTTTCTCTCTCTGTCCCTGTCTCACTCTCTCTCTCTCTCTCGCCCTCTCTATCTGTTTTTTGTATCTTTCTCTCTAGCTCACTCACTTTCTCCCTCTCTTATTTTCTTATTTTATATCTTCCCATCTCTTTTGTTCTATATCTGTCTCTCTTTCTGTCTATCTGTCTATCTATACAGCTGCATCATGATATGATTGAATGAAAGTGAGTGGTGTGTGTATGTCTGTTACCTCACATCTCAATGCTACATAAATGTGTATATATAAGCAGCATACAGGTAACGTGATGTAACAGACACACAAACACACACACACACACACACACACACACACACACACACACACCACTCACACTTTCATTCATTCACAGCAATTATGTATGATGCAGGTGTAACTAGAGAAAAGAGAGAAAAATGAAAAGGTGAGAGCTTACAGGAAAAGATGAAAGACGCACAGAACTGAGGAAGAGCAAAACACGTCTGAACAGCAGCAGCTGGAGTATTAAAGTGACTCCAGATGGAGAGATACAAGGAGGGATGAAAGAGGGATGAGTGGAGCGATGAGGGAATAGAGAAAGTAATAGGTGTAGATGAGTGGATTATCTACAGTCCCTCCTGTGTGAAAAACACCTCAGAGCACATGCGTTTACTGCACATTAACATGCGCTCGCGGTGAAGCTCTATAAGCTGCGTGTCTCCACAACAGCAGCTCTGCCAGCACAATCACTCACTGATCCCACAACACACTGTGATTCACCAGAAGACGCAACATGTGTGACTGTTCATTTTCATTAGGGATGCACTGATCATCAATTTTTATGAGCTGATTTCAATCCGGTTTCTTCACAGTCAAGTTGGTTGATAACTGATTTAGTCAGATTTTATAACCTGAAGCTCAGACTGTGTGGGCTAAATGAACACATAAAACACAACAGCACATTTCTAGCACTTTCTATTAGTTAGTATTGGTTCTTTAAAGGGCCAAACTTAAATGGAAGTCAATTGCCATATAGAAATAAGATGACACTCAAAAAAGGGCTACAGTCATGTGCAAAAGTTTGAACATCCCTGGTTAAATTCCTTCTTTTGTTGATATTCTAAGTGAAAGTAAGTGAACACATCCTCTATAGAGAACACACCTCAGCACATTTTAATGTACAATTTCTACATATTTGCTGAGTTGAAATGCACTGGAAAAAACACAAAATACCAAATGTGCCATAACTTTTGCACAGGCCACATTTTATGTTTTATTACTTTTTCCAAAATGTCAATTTCAGCAAATAAGCAGTAATTGTGCATTAAAATGTGCAGAAGTATGTTTTCTGTACAGAATGTGTTATTTTCACTTCAAATTCAACAAAATGTAATCTGACCAGGAGTGTCCAAACTTTTGCATATGACTGTACTTTGAAAGTAAGAGGTAACTTGCTAATAACAGCGTTATTAACGTCATACATTTGCAAAACTGATGGGCTAAAATAAAAAAAAAATGGCCAATTGCTGATTGTGTGTTTGGAGCAAAAATCTGCTGATTATGATTTTGAACAATTACCTACAGAACCAGTTAAATATGGTACAGTACAAGGCACTTCCATACATAATACTTATTGATATACTTATAATTACTATATATAAGTACCTACATATATATAATACATATGGGACATAATATTACTACATATTTGCACATACATACATAGTAAATATGGGACACACTATTACTACATAAAGGTTCTGTACATGTCCTATACAGTCCTGTGCATTTCTACACTGCTGCTTTCATTCTATATGTATATGTATGTGTGCATGTTTGTAGAGACAGAATAAGCCAGATGTTTAATGTTACTGAATTACTGAAGCAGAGTGTAGGGAAAGTGTTTTTCTATAGAGAAATCTGTTTTTACTCAGTTACTCACTGTCACCAGCCTCTAGATAATCAAGTTTCTCTGAGGGCTGTTTTTAATTGACTCACTGTATTTTTCAAAACAAACACTTTGGCAGTTCAATTCAAGTTTAACATCTCAGTGCTACACTGAAGTGACATGCTTTGAATTTACATGGTTTAAAAAATGACAAAATATTCCACATAAATCGGTGCAATTCTTGCCACAAGAAGTAAAATAAAACCCAGCAATTCTGTAGATATCATAATATTACTTTATTATTCTACTAAAAAGGAAAATCCTACACTGAGAACACTTCTTATAATAATTAATGTTCTTGTGTTCAATAATAACTTACAAACAATCATATTTAATGCTGTGTAGATTTAAATATTAACAAACTAAACACTATAAGGTATTTTTAGATGCTTTGGGAATTAGAAATAACAAATGATAAATAAATAACTAGAAGGGGAAATTCGTAAAAAATGCTACAGTTTTCCAGGTGGTTGCTAAGGAGCTGCTGTAAAAATGCTATGGAATCAATCCTATGTGGTTGGTAAGATGCTGCTAGGCTATTGCTAAAGATTCCCAGGTGGTTGCTAAGGTGCAGCTGAGCCATTGCTAAGGCACCTCAGGTGACCATACAAAAACCATGTGATCTGTGAAAGCAAAAGTTTTTTGGTTCTAGCTCAAAAACTGTGACCAGTGAAAAATGGTACAAAAAAGCATAGAACAATTAAACGAAGAATAGTAAGTTGGCTTTGTTGTGCCAACTTAATACAATTATTAAATGATAAATATTAGGCTTCAATTATGCATTAAAATAATTTCTTCAAGTTATCTGATCATCAGTTCAGAAATATGAGTTACTCTGAATATTACTTTTATTATAACTAAATTATTTATATTACTTTTATTATCATTTTGTTCTGGATATTAATTTAATTCCAACTGCAGTTCATTCTCAATGTTGTTAGGGAATCATTACAGCTCTGTTCATCATTTTGGACATCAAATTTTTTTCCCTACCAGTTATTTGACACTTACTGTTGTAAAGCATCACATTAGTACCATTTTATACACATATCAGCCCCAAAATGTGAGTGTGTTTGTACCTGTTCTCGTGCGCTCCTCTCAGACGCCCCCCTCATGCTGCTGTGTGAGGGGGACGGTGATGGTGGCAGAGAGTGCTGTGGGGTGTATTTGTTCTTCAGGTGCTCCATGAAGGCGTCCCGTTTGCGCTCCATGTCAGCCTTGTGCAGGTTGCTGAGGGTCTCCAGGCTCTGGGCTGCGATGACCGTGTGCCGGTGTTCGGACGTGTGCACGAGGCCCACATTAGAGAAGCGCCGGCCATTCCCCAGCGTCCGGTACTCACGTGGGTACTCCAGGTCATCAGTGGACATGATATGACCCCCACCACGCTCAGGGTCTGGGGGAAGAGGAGGAGGAGGAAAGAAGAGAATAACTGTTATAGTTTATCAGTCATGTTATACTGCTGTGTTACACACAACAGATATTAAGTAACATTATGCTGCTATGTTTCCTACATAAAGGTTTTTCAGTCCTAAGACAACAATCACTCCAATCATGTTATGTTGCTGTTATGCACATGTAGCAACTATTTGATTGGTATGTCGCTAGACTGCACACATTCAGCAATTATCCCACCATGTTATTTTGTTGTTGGTAAGTATTCAGTGATGTTATTTGATATGTTGAGCACATATAGCAATTATTCAATCATACATGTTGCTGTGTTACACATAAATAACAACTATTTAATCATGTTATGTTGCTTCATTGTAGACACATAGCAATTATTCCATTGCCTTATGTTGCTGTGTTACACACTAATAACAACTCAACTATGTACGATACGCATATAGCAACAATGTAATCATGTTATGTTACTGTAACAGATATAGCGATTATTTAATCAGCTATGTTGCGCACAAAACAATAATGCAGTCCTATTCTGTTGTTGTGTTATGCACTACTTATCAATTACTAAGTCAGGTTACGTTGATATGTTACATACATATGTACACCGATCAGGCATAACATTATGACCACCTCTTTGTTTCTACACTCATTGTCCATTTTATCAGCTCCACTTACTATATAGGTGCACTTTGTAGTTCTACAATTACAGACTGTAGTCCATCTGTTTCTCTGCATACTTTGTTAGCCCCCTTGGACCCTCACAGAGCAGGTACTATTTGGGTGGTGGATCATTTTCAGCACTGCAGTAACACTGACGTGGTGGTGGTTTGTTAGTGTGTGTTGTGCTGCTATGAGTGGATAAGACACAGCAGTGCTGCTGGAGTTTTTAAACACTGTGTCCACTCACTGTCCACTCTATTAGATGCACCTGCGTTGTTGGCCCACTCTGTAAATGTAAAGCCAGAGACGATAGCTGTACAGCTGTACAGTATGAGCTAATCATCCTCTAGTCCTTCTTCAGTGGACACAGGACGCTGCCCACAGGCTGCTGTTGGCTGGATATTTTGGGTTGGTGGACTATTCTCAGTCCAGCAGTGACACTGTGGTGTTTAAAAGCTCCAGCAGCACTGCTGTGTCTGATCCACTCAGACCAGCACAACACACACTAACGCACCACCACCACCAAAATATTATAAATGCCATCACTCAGTGCTTCAAGTGAAGTGATTGATATTTTATGCTATTTTATAATAAATAAATGATAAGGTACCATAAACTTTTGTAATGTAAGGTGGACACATTTAATTCCAAACAAATTACAAAAGCACAGGCACATTATTGCAAGATAAATACTTTAGGTTCTGAAAGAAACTAGTAAACACAATTATGTTGTGCTTTTGTTTGTCCTGCAGTGTCTAACATGACCAGAATACATAAGTTGCACCTAATTAACCATGCAGGGCAGGAAGCTCTCACAGGTGATTTTGGAATAATAAACATATGCAGTGTGCAGTACAGCACACACGGAGACACCCATAATCAGTACAACAATCAAATGTGACTAACCTAAAATATTCATCTGTTTACTTGAAGCACTCAGTGATGGTATTTTAAGTGTTCATATTTTTTTTATAATTGTTAATGTGTATCATAGGTGCTTTATAATTATGTGCATGTCATTATCTCTGTAAAAGGCATAATAATGAGTAGTGATTGTGTTACAACATGTTTATAAATCATCAAAGAATGAATTGTAGTACATTATTGCAGCCTTATGATTCATTATCAGAGTTTCTAAATCCTAAAGTTACTACTACAAAACGTTATAAGCACATTTATAACTACTCACAAATACAGGCATCTTATTGAATAATGACAAAAAATGAGAGCTAATAAACAGAAACCAAAAATGCTAAGTATTCTGGGTAGTTCTCCCTCCAGGGCCACAGTATATTATTTAAAACTGCGACTTTCTATTGTGCTATTCAGTTTATGAAGTGTGATAAATGAGAACCAACAATCGGATCAGTCAGTAAAGCACTGTTTACTGTAAACTAATAATAATAATGTAATAATGTAAATATAAATATAAAATTACATCGGTTGAAATCATTGATTATCTGAATTTTTAGCCACCTTTAATCTGGTATCGACTGCAAAACTTTCATATCGGTCGGGCTCTATATGTTACACACTCATACAGCAATTATTCCGTCATGCTACATTGCTATGCTACACATATAATCATTCAATCATGCACGCAGTCACCCACACACATGTGCTGCACCACACATGCAGGTATGCAGACACATTCAAACACACAGACAGAGGAGAGAGTAGAGGACAGAGGCAGAAAATGAGCGAGAGAGAGAGAGAGAGAGAGAGATGGGATGAGCTGTTAGACGAGGGTGTGTGTGTGCGCCTCCTGCAGAGTTATTGATCTCAGGTTTGAGGGAAAAGAGAAAAGGCAAAGTAAAAAAGTAAAGAGCCATGCTTCACATCAAAGCAAAGAATGGAGCCGAATTTCCCTGCCAGGAGATTCCATTTCGTTTTGCCTGTTTGTCATTTGAAGTGCTGTTTATTGCTTTCTCGACATGCACACACACACACAGACGTATATTTTTCAACAAAACTGTTGAAAGGCAGAGCGTTACAAAAAGACGACCAAAGACGCTTTCGCACAGCTTTCTACACGCATCTGACTTTTACACATAAATCCCATAAAACTGACTCGAGTTCTGCGCTCAGACTCCATTTAAATAAACTTCTACATTCTGTTTTTCACACACTCATTTCTTTCTCTCACTCACTCTTTCCTCCCTCCCTGCATCTATGTCTTCCCCTATAGACCTCTGATCACTCCTCATCATTTTGTAGGTTGAGGCCGTTTCTGTCTATGGGAAAAATGAATGGTGTTTTCGATTCACCCTCTCCATTGCAGTCTTAACTGACCTGTTACAGAGCCAGTGTTTTTCTTACGCACATTTTCCCCTGAATGACACTGTGTGCTTTGATTTACTAGGATTACCTAGTTAAAATAGGAAGTTTGCTACCTGAATGTTAAAAGCAAGTTAACAGTGAATTTAACTGCATTGTATTGACATCATATGAAAAAAACTGTACATAAACCAGCAGGCGTTGTTAAGCATGGTAGTTATATATACTAGTGTAGAAGTCATGTATAATTATTGCATCAGCCTTACTTTCATATAACTGATGTCAATTACTTTCACACAACTGATGTCAATTAACCATGCTTGAGTTTTAGTTTAGCTTGTAGTATGTATTATAGCGATATTCCTATTTTGACTACTCAATGCAACTAAGACAAATGTATTGTGCCCTTATTAAAATATTCAAATCTGCCCTCAGAGCAGACCTGGTGTCAATGCATGAAGGGGTTTATGCCCTTAAAATCCCAGGCTTATTACATACTAAGGCTTATTATTCACTAACTACATGGACTTCAAAGCTAACTAGTTGAGCTATTCTTAAGTTATAGAAGTATGTCATATAACTTTGGGCCCACTGTCAGGCCCTGGCCATGTAAGGTGTTCAAGCACATTTCAAGCACATTTCTTAAAACAATGCAAAATTATCTGCAAATTAATTAATTTACTTAAAACAAGTAAAAATGTATAGTAATAAGGTACATAATCTTAAATTAAGTTTACAATAATCTCAACAGGAGAAATATTAGATTTACTGACTATATTTAAAATAATTTTACTTGACATCATTTTTTGCAGTGCGGAGCTAAAATACAGGACACATGAACAAAAAGAGAAAAGAGAGAAAAACAGACAATAAATAAAAAACAGTTCACTTAAAAAAAAAACATATTAAAATGATTTACTTGAAGCACTCAGTGATGGTATTTTAAGTGTTCATATTTTTTTTTAAATTGTTAATGTGTATTATAGGTGCTTTATAATTATGTGCATGTCATTATCTCTGTAAAAGGCATAATAATGAGTAGTGATTGTGTTACAACATGTTTATAAATCATCAAAGAATGAATTGTAGTACATTATTGCAGGCTTATGATTCATTATCAGAGTTTCTAAATCCTAAAGTTACTACTACAAAACGTTATAAGCACATTTATAACTACTCACAAATACAGGCATACATATTAAATACATATTAAAATGATTATAGTATTAAGGCTACAGTATGTGCCTAGAAATCCAGCATCCTCAGCAACAGAGAACAAATGGTCGTCAATGGTAATGAACTGTGACGGTATTTTTTAGTTATTTAGTTATATGCAATTTTGTCAATGTTGTTAGAGATTTTTTCATCAGAAATGTACATTTTCCATTTGGCTGTTTCTCAGGATGCACTTAAGCTGAAAGTGAAAGAACTAACAGCTTTTTAAATCAGTATTTCTCCTTTTTATTATTATATCTGTAACATTTGGATATCGCCACTTTGTTGTAGGCCTATTTAATCACTGTTGTGTTTGTTTTTCCTCTGAGGAGTGAAGAGTGCTATTTCTGACTGAAATATTTTGTGGTGTATCCCTGGTATATAAGGACATTTTTGTTTACAATATACTTCACTAGCTGAGAATAGGCGAATTTAGAAAACACCATTCATTTTTCCCATAGAGAAAAAGGGCCTACTGCAGCCCCCCCACCTCTACCCCTTTTAGACCAGTAATTTATGACCCAGTGTTCACTGCTATGAAACATGCCACACTGACAGCACTCAGCGTCCTTTAATGACCCTGCTTAATTACAAGCAACACACACACACACACACACACAGACTGAAGACAGAGTGTATGACGAAACGAGACCGTGTTCGGCGAACGTCAATGACACACGCGGGACTGGCCAGAGAACGACTCTGATTGGCCAATGACGGACTAGACTGAGCGGACGGTGGGTTTTGATTGGCCGGGTGCAGTTTACCTTGCTTCGGAAAGCAGGCGCCAGCGTTAGCTGCAAAAGAAACCACAGTTAATCCCATCAATCAAAC